CCAACGTACACATTCACTTGCAGCCCTGGAGAAAAACAGAAATAAATGCTGAAGAATAAAAGCATCCTGGAATGTAAGCAGATTTCAATTTCTCTCTGGAGCAAGGCTGCTTGAAGCCAGACCAGCAGGGAATGGGAGAGAAAATTAATGTGTTTAAAGCAGCGTTCCCTCTGCACTCTAAATTCTCACAGATATGTATTAATTGCAAGCAAGATTGGCACCGTGTCCTTGCTCCCACTGTCATGAGTACTTTACCAGAGCTCTCTTAATTAACACATTTGACAGCACAGCTCCTGCTGCAAGCCAGGCAACCTCTTACAATGCCACTTGCTGCCCTCAATGGCTGGTGGCACCTCTGGATGGCCCCAGACAGTGCCACGGGGCTGGGGGAGTTGTGGTAGAAGAGCCAGGATCTCCAAGAAGTGCTGGGAAGGAGGGCTAACCCATTGCAGGAGCCTCTCAACCTCTTTCCTGGCTTGCAAGGAGCAAACAGCTTCAGCCAACCACCCAGCAGCTCCCAGGGCTGCAGCTTTTATTCCCCATCACAGCTGGTCTGAGGAAATTGCTAACACGGTGTTTGTGTCGATTGCTCCCCTGCAGAGACAGGCAGTTATTGATATCCCTGACAAAAACAGGCCCTTTATGGACTCCTTACTCCCATTTTCCTTCAAGCACTTCCTGTACCCCTTTGCCTTCTGGCAGGCAGGACATGTCACCAGCCCCTGGATCCATGACAATTATCACCGCTCAAAAGCACCTTCTTTGCCCACAATTCACCAGTTTACCCACAGAGACATTTGCCCTGCAGTCACCCCTCACCACCTGCAGTTCTTGCTGGTTCCCTGAGGTGTCCTACAAGGTGAGCACCATCACCTCTCTAAGCCAGCCTGGTTCAATCAGACTGGGGAGGTTTTGGGGGAAAGCAGGAGGACTTCCCAGCTTGTGGGTGAATGTTACCCTACAAGTAGCCTGATCAGGCACACTTAGCTTGCCAGAGGTAACTACTGCCCTTTTGGCATGATCAGGTCTGGACATTTCTCAGGACAGCAGGTCGTGTTGTGGTAGGACAAGGAGGGATGGCTTTAAACAGAAGGAGGGTGGATTTAAATTAGCTATAAAAAAGAAGGGGTTTTTTTTACAATGAGGATGGTGAGCACTACCACAGGTTACACAGAGAGGTGGTAGATGCTCCATCCCTGGGAGCATTTGAGGCCAGGTGGGATGGCTCAGTTCTGAGCAATCTGATCTGGTTGACAATGTCCCTGCTCATTGCAGGGGGGTTGGACTAAATGACCTTTAACAGTCCCTTCCAACCCAAACTACTCCTTGATTCTATTATTAACCTGTAATGCTTTTGAAAGCCTGAGCACTTCATACAAATAAATCACCTTAATAACCAGTGACTGCAAGACAGCCAGCCGAGAACATTTTGTTTTGGTAAACAGATTATTGATTGTATATCTGTGTCCTTGAGATGAACTTGACTCCTTGACAGCAGCAGGAGCCCAACAAAACAGGTTCTCCATAACTCCAAAATGGTGCATGGCCTTTGTCTGGAGCCAGCAGCACATCAGCTTTATGAAGGCAATAAAGCACCTCTGATTTAGCATTGGCAGGGACTTCCCCCTCCCTGAAAGCTGCCTTTTCTTTGTTTGCACAGCTGACCCAAGCTGCACAGTGTGAACATGGGCTTCAAGAGGCAAAGTCCATCTCCATGGCATGGATTTGCCAGGAATAAAATCTCTGTCCTTTTTACACTGTGCTGATGATGGAGCTGTTGGCACAAAAGTAGGTCCAAGCAGGGAAAACACAGCTCGTGCCCTTTGTAGCAGCATCTTCAAACCCGTGCTTGATTTCCAGGGATTTATGCCACTGTAACATTTATAATCAAGGGATGCCCAGCCAGAGAAGATAACAAGAATGAAACATTATCTCAGCCTTTTCTCTGAGCACTCCCCATCACACCAATATGCATGGATCTCTCTCCCCTGTGCACAGCCTCTGGCCCTGGTTGGGCCCAGAGACACACACACAGAGAAAATATTTTCTCTGTTGGTAGAACAGTTTCTACTGCAAATCAATGTTCTACATGAATTTAGATCTGTTGGCAATTGCTCTCCCCACAGCAAAAATGTTTCATTGGAGAACCAGGCAAGGAGCTCCAAAAGCAGGTGCCAATAATTTGTTTGGGGCATATAAACAAAAGCCCCTCTACCACACCAGGCAATGAGCTTTAATTAGTCTCCATCTCATCTCTGACAGGTTGTTTTAATCAAGCACATCCTAACCAAAGCACGGACAGCATGTTCACTATGGATAATGAGGAGTAAGGCAGAGGGTAAAGCACAAGGGAGCATCATCAGCACCACGGCTCCTGCAGCCCCCTCAGCTCCCAGCCCCTAAAACACACAGCAGCCAGGCACACAACCCCTGCCCATGGCAGCATGATGCCAATTCCAAGACAATATAGTTGGGGAAGAGAAAGAACAGCTTTTAAGCTATTCCAGAGACCAGAGATATACTTTATGCTGAAAAAATATAAAGAATTGTGGATGAAAAATACTTTAAAACCCTTTTGTCTCCGGGAATAGTTACAGATCAGCAAATATAACATCACATTCTTCTGAATTTTTCTGCCTTCCTGTATGGTTTTCTCTGAAAAAGGACAACAGCAATACCTGGAAACCACATTCCCCCTGCAGACCTACCTTGCTTCATTTACAACTCCTTATAAACCACACCAGCTTTCCCAGAACAGGCAAGAAGAAAGTTCCAGGGGTGTTTCATCTGAAGAAGTATAATCTATATCATTCCTATGCAATATAATTGGACAATACAATTCCTGTTTCATTTTCCTTAAGCCAAATATCTGGTTAAATTTTGGCCAAGGCAGAGAAAACATCTTGAAGAGTTGTACCTCGGACATAAAAAAAATTCCCATCTGCTGAAAAGTCAGTTATAGCCATGGCCTTAAAAAGTGCAATGAAATGTTTTACTCAACCTAGCTACTGGTGCACAATAACCTTGCCAGAAGAATATAAAAACATCCAAAGAAGAGGAGCAAAGTCAAACACAGTTCTTGGCTACAGATCTATGGACTGGCTCTCCTGGTTAAATGCACTCAGCCAGGTATGGCAGTGATGGATGCTTGTGTTTTCCTTTGCCTTATCTTGAAAGAAAGGTCAGGCAACATTTAAAAGACTAAAGGAGACTCAAAA